CAAGCAGTGACTGTTACTGGTGCTCGATATCGCTACATGATAACACAGTTCTTTCTGCCGAAATTGGATGATATTGATGTGGCCAATATGTGGTTTCAACAAGACGGTGCCACATGCCATACAGCTCGTGAAACAATTCAGTTACTGCATGAGACGTTTCCAGGTCGTGTACTCTCTCGTTTAGGTGATCAGAATTGGCCCCCTAGATCGTGTGATTTAACACCATTAGATTTCTTTTTATGGGATTATTTGAAATCACAGGTCTATGTCAACAAGCCCACAACCACCCGTGCATTAAAGGAGGAGATTCAACGCTGCATCAACGAAATTCAACCACATTTATGCAAAATGGTCATGGAAAATGTCGACAAACGAGTGCGTATGTGCATGCAAAGCCGTGGAGGCCATTTGCCCGATGTGTTATTCCAGAAATAACCCTATCCTATATACTTTATGATTCAATAAAAAAATAACAATCAAAAGACTAAAAACTGTGTTTTCTATTTAATTCAAATCTTGCGTTAATTTTGGGACACCCTTTATTATTAGAGACTCAAGTGAGAGTCTGGCAAAGCAATGTTCATATTTTGATTGATGCAGTCATTATGTGGCAAAATTTTCATATCATCCTTGTTTAATGTTCGGTAAATAACAAAGATGAAGTGTTCAGTTTGCCATATCATGACGAACGTTTGCCAGACTCTCCCTTAAGGATCTCTATTATTAGTGAGGACACATGTATCAATTATCACATGAGGTTCATATTCTATAATACTTTCTCTTTAACAGTACTTTTACATTGTGTACATGCTCGTTTCGTTATTTGGCCAGCAATTGCTTTCTGCATTAAACCAAAGCCTTGGCATAAAAGTACGTCAACATTAAAACTAAGAATAACTTTTGAGTTATTAAAATAATATCCGCATGAGCAAGAATCTTTTATTTTGAGATTAGGAATATCTACAAACAGATACTCAGCTAAGTGGGCTACATTGCATTCAGTATTTAATTTACTATAGAAGTCTTCAATTTAATATAGAAATAGGGGGAGAAAAATTAGATTTTTTGGATACTACTATATCTATTAGTAAGAATCGGTTTCGTTTTTAATTGGTACCGCAAACCTACTTTTTCAGGGAGATTTTTAAATTTCCACTCAAATCATCCAATTGCACAAAAAAAAGAACAATTTTTTTGCTAGTTGACAGAACTTTTTTACTTTCTGACTTTATGTTTTACACAAAAAATTTGACATTTATTATTAACGTTTTATTAGATAATGACTACCCATTAACTTTTATTTTTGACACAGTTAATCAACGTATAAAAAATTTACTTAAAAATAGACACATAGTACATAAAGATTTGACAATGTCTATTCAAATGAATCCTCTTGGCTTACGGTGCCATTTATTCCTTTTCACATAGAAACATTTAAATGGTTCAATAAAAACATCAGGGTATCTTTTCATACTCCTAATAAAATGGGTAAATATATTAAAGTACAAAAGGACATTTCTCCCTATACATCTAAGAGCAATGTAGTCTATAAGATATAATAATTGTGATGCGTCGTACGTTGGACAGACGGGCAGACAATTGAAAACCAGAATTACAGAACATCGTAATCATATTAGACATAACACTTCTGTCCGTTGTGTCATAACGGAGCACAGACTGCAGTATGCAGTCATGATCATGATTTCCAATGGGACAATGTTAAAATTTTGGATGAAGAGCCTTGTAATAGGAAACGCTTGATTTCTAAGATGCTCAATATTAAAAAGCAGAAAAATAGTTTAAATTTACAAACTGACACTGAAGGTCTTCATAAGGTATATATACTTATTGTAAATAAAATTTGACTTTTCGGTATTGATAGTCCGTCTCTTCTTTCAATCCATGTTGATCCGTACGTATTGCATATCGATTGTTTGAATAATTTACACATGACTTTTGGTGAGTTTTAATTACTTGTTAGATTTCCGGTATGTTAATTTGATTGTGTTTATTTTTTTGTAAGAAGTCTTTTTATCTTTTTTATCAACTAGAACTTTTTCCAAGAGATATGAAACAGATTTGACTGTTCGTATCGTGTGTGAATAATGTCGAGTTCTACATCAAGACTCCCGAGCTGCGATTATAGTGAATATGCGAACATTTTCGATAATCAATTTTGTACAGTGATTTTTATGATAAGTTAATGTCTGAAGAGGGCTCAATCCGGTAGCCGAAACTTGTAATTTATTTGAATTAAAACTGAGTTTTTATTATATATTTTTTTTCAATTTTATTTTTCTTTATTTGTAATGTATTTTTTTAACTGTGTGACAATTAAAAAAATGTGTTTGAATCTTATTTTGCCCTTTATTTATTGTTATTTATTCAGTATTTAATTGTTTTATTGTTCTCGTAAAGAGTTTCATCGCATCTCTGAAAAGTCCAATACTGGAAAGCATTTCTGCTCTCTCTTTATAACAGTTTATTGTCAGTAGTTTTTTACCATGCAAGATTTTCAAATCTTTCTAATCTTATTGTCTGATTTGATTTTGAAAGTTTCTCATGATATTCTGCATTTGAAGCAGTGATGCTCATTAACACTTGAAATAATGAATCAAACGCGCAAATACGCTTTACATTAAGCTTAAATTTTCCCATTCATATAGGTTGATAAAAAAAGCCATTCTTAAAAATAGGAAGCCTAGATATCTGCGAATCTTTCATGAATTGCCATCGGGGTATTTATCCAAATACGTTGCCTTGGATTTCTTTTTTGCCTGTGATTTTTTTGGTTCAGCGATTTCCTTTGATTTTTTAATGGTTAATCTACGCCAGTTCTTGCACATATTCCAAAGGTTACACGAATCAACAGTGCTTGCTCGAACGTCATTATTATTTGTCGTTATTATTTGTACGATAATCTGTTGGCATGCTAGTATTGAAACTAGCATTGCTTTCACAGGTTAATTTTGATTCATTTCTTGAACTTTGTAACCGATGTCGATGTTGATGTTCGGAATCAATTTTTGCAGCTAACTCATTATAGTCCCGTATGTCTGAATCTCTACAATGCTCAGAAATATCCATTTTTTCTTACTGAAAAGCAAAGTCTTCTATAATGTAGTTGTTAATGGATGGCAGATCACTTTCGTGAGGCAAGTCGGTTTACCCTCCAGATGATCTAAATGTTGGAGGACAAATTTATCAATCCGCATTGACAATTGATTTTTAAACGATCTATTTTTCAAGTTATCTAACTCTAACTCAACCGATGAAGCCGTAGCTATCGTTGAACCTATTCCAAAATGTGGTCGCATAATACCAATCTAAAATGATAGATACGGGATCAACTTTTTGAGACGGATAGCAAAATTAGAATTAAAGCACGCATTAATAATGGTTTCTTCTTTGGATTTACTTACAATGTCTTGAGCGGTAGCATAAATTGTATTAGTCCATGTCTTCCAATCAGAAGTATCGTCTTCTGTAATGTCATTGTCGCTATCCTCGTTCTGCATAGCTTCGTTATCATCCACGTTTAAATCTGTAAAAACAACTCCTTCTATTGTTCTGTCAAGTACTTCCATATGTATTTGTACTGGCACGGCTACCTCCTCTTTCGTGGTGCCCAGATATTCGCTTAATGCTATCGCCAGTACTGATTCTAGAAAATACGACAAAATCTCTCATTTGATACGTCTTAAAGTCGCTCATTTGATACGTTTGGGGCATACAACGTATGTACAATCTTCGTGCTGTACTTTCATTTTCAGATACTTCCATTGTGACACTCTAGCAATGAAGTGGCTTACATTGAAGTCTAATATAAGTAGCCGGCATTACAATAGAACCTGTAACGCCATTATATATAGCATTTCTGTAAGTAGTCAGGCAAATCGCTGCATTTACTGAAAATTTCAGATACAGCATTTAATATGGCGCCAAAATTTCCAAAATTGTACGTAACTATGGGAGCATAAGGCACACCCTTTGTTAACACTTTGATGGTCGCATTTTTCAGAAAAAAGTTTGTTCTTGCCGCCGGCATATAATGACGAAAACTACTGGCTGCCGTCGGCACTTTTTGTAAGCTTTATTACAAATTAAAGATATTAATTCTTTATACTGTTGTCTGACATCTGATCGCTAATATTCGACAGATTATCAGTGTACACCTCGTCAGTTTCACACATTTTTAAGAGTATTTTCTTTAAATTTATAAATACAGCTTTTGATTTGAGCTTTTGATAATATGTACCATTGGTATAATATTATATATGTATATTCAGTGTAAATTCTAAGGATACAAATAACTATAATACAAATAGCAAGAAAAGGTAAGAAAAGTTATTGAATATATAATCTATATCGAAAAGAGCAGGCCAAAGCTAAGTTGATCTCAAAATCGGATCATGTATAGCAATCACATTCGGCTGATCAAAGAAAAGTGGACTGAAGTCAAAGCACGCTAGGTCATATGGGAAGATCGTAAGCGACTGCACGAACACGTTGCGGCCAGTGACCGAGTCGCCGCCGAATAGATGTTTATGGCTAATCTCTCCACATGACGTAATTTAGGCCTAGAGAGCAGGGAGAGAGTGGCAAATTGCATCACGTGACCCGGTCTCCTCTGATTGGATCTGGTAATCAAGCTTCGTAGACCCATGGGGGTATGAATGCCTAGGGTTTAGGTTAGATGATTGCAAAAGCAATACGCTATTGTCACCTTGTGCTGCAATTTCCTTCTCAATTGATAAGGTCTTTGTAAGTGACATATCATTAATCTTGGAAGTATATACCTTCCTCTATTGTACATATATACATGAAATAAAATTACAAAGTTTTACATTTCAAATATCAGGATTTGTGCATATTGTAAAATGCTTGTCGGGTGCAGTGCTTTCAAATGCACGAACTCTAATAAAGACGGATATTGCTGCACAACATATACCCAAGATCCAAACTGATCTGAGACAAAAATGGATTGATGCTGCCGGAATAACTGGAAACCTTCAAAATTAGCTTTACTGTGTGAGGTTAGTACTGAAGCATGTATACAAACTGACAAGATACTTAAAAATCCTCTTATGGAAATTTGCGTGCTTATTAAAATTTAAGTGATTAAGAGTAATAAACTAGTAATACGGTACTAATTTCATAATTTATTAATTTTGTAGATATGTTTAAAACTTAATAATACGAGGGTTGTCCAAAAATTAAAGATCTTTATTGTTTTTCGGTGATACGGAAATTGTTTTTCAAAAGCAGTGGCATGTAGTGGGGATCCTCCCCTCCACAACGAGCGGTGAGCAGTATCGGTAGCTGTTTTAATCTGGTCTTGGGGTCCGTTTCACATGGAGGATCCGCTGTTGAATCCCGCCGCCTGCGAGGTGCATTCAGTCATTCGCTTTCTCAACCACGAAAGAGTTCGCCCCGTTGAAAATTTTAAAAAACTTCAGAAGGGCAACCTTGGAAGTTTTTTGCTTGTTTTGCTTGGATTGCCCTTTATCATCCATTTCAAACGAACGCCAAGGCCAGACTAAAGCAGCTACCGATACCAGTGTTGTTAACGGGCCGAAAATTTTTATATATTTTACACAGTTTACATATGTATATATATATATATGTATAATATATTTCTATATATGTAAAATATATTATATATGTATAAAATATATTAAAATTTTCAACATCTTTGAAAAAATTTTACATAGGCGACTAATGATCTCTTATTTATTAGTGACCAGTACGTTACTGAAGCTACATTGGATGCGCATGCGTCTGAAATTTGGCCGTCTAATAACATTGAGCAATACAGCTCGTTGTAGAGGAGAGAGTCTCCGCTACATGCCACTGCTGCCAACTTTTGAGAAACAATTTCCGTATCGCCGAAAAACACAATAAAGGTCTTTAATTTTTACAACCCTTGTACTCGATTTTTATTTAAAACTGTGATTTTAATGATATCATCCGAGTTTGATTATCAATGGAGATGATAACTGCAGAGAAAAAAATTGTAATTTTTCGGCAATACATATATATATAAGATATTATATCATTAAAAATATGCATATTTATTTATACAGCATTTATATAATAAAAAATCATGAATTTAATAATGTGTCATCGAAATATTTATCCGTATTACAAATCAAAGTAACCAAGACTCCTTATAGTTCAAAGAATTGGAAAGGATAGTAGGGCAGTAGGAGTCAAGCGCAGAAGACGTCGCGCAAATAATATATCTATGAAGTGTCGAACTTCTTTATTCACTAAAATGCGCTTACATGTTTCAGCTCATTTTTGAACCCTCCTCAGAGACAACAAAAATTAACATATATAAACTGTAAATAAAAATTATCTTATCATGGTGAGCAATTCTCGAGTCCTATTTCGAGAATTTAAACGCCAATAAGAGTGAAATAAAACGAAAAAAGAAAGATAAACGAAAAAAGGAAATAATAAAAATATCGAAATAGAAAATATGAAAATCTAATTTATCAAAAACCTTAAGATTATAATTAATCATCTCGAAAATAAGGACGCTCACCCTGATCACATCAAATTACAAACTATATCGCAAACATTACTATAAATTATTCAAAAACCGGTTCTCGATATTTTAGCCAGTTAGTAATTTATGTTTCATTATTAAAGTATTAGAGAATGATTATCCATTGAATTTTATATTTGAGAATATTAACAATCGTTTGAAGAAAATTATTATGAAAATTAAAACTTTTCAGGAGCATATAACCAACCTTCGTTGTTAAGAAGTCATATATTCTAAAAAAACTAGTACAATTTGTATACGTTTCGGTCAACATTTGACCATCTTCAGTACATTTCTAATAACATTATATTAAAACGAAATCAATCGATAGTGATCCTAATCTAAAAACGCAAAAACTTTCGCTTAATCCTATATTTTAAATAGAAATATCGCATTTTTTTGAAAAAAGGCGTATGAAGATAAATTTAATAATTATACAACGGTTCGCAACAATTAATATGGTGACGTACAAATCTTTATTATTTATTATTAAATGAATTTTCATATTGGTATGACTACTGTTGATTTAATGTCAAGAGGTACAATTTTCTTCTTGATCTGACAACGAATTTTTTATATATGAATACAAGACCAATTTAAGTCTTTTTTATGTTTTATTGGAACTCTCTACATGTATTCAATACCGTGATCGGACCCACAGGAGACACGCAAGTGGTCAGTTCTATGTGTGAATTAAATATGAAAATTAGAAAACAGTTTAATTGTTCAGAATTTAAAAATTTGTGTTATAGATTTATTAATTGTATTATTTAACAATATGTCAATAATAAATTATTTGTTTTATAGAATAACTTATTACAACCGAAAGAAAAACGAACAAAGAGAAAGAGAAAGAAAGCAAAGAAATTAGACAATAATTTTCAAAAACTTACGCGTATCTCACTGTACACATCACACTGATATTGCACACTTACATGTTATTAATAATAACGTACTTTTCTTTGTATGTCGAGAGTCCGAAATTCGGTCTATTTATACTTTTCACACAGAGAGGGGACGAGAGGGGAGAAGGGGGGTTGACGAGAGAATTGAGTAAGAGGGGATAGAGTTATTGTTTAAGAAGAGGGAGGTATACGTCAGGAAAACGATCGGTATCACTTTGCTTATTTAAGGTATCTGTATGCATTTTTATGTAGATCATTTCTGAAATGCTTCTTTTAAAAAAAGATTGTTCAAAATCTAAAATTTCAGTGTTATTCCAATCCATAACATGTCCATCACTTATTCGATGATTTGAAATTACAGACAGCGATTCAACCGGTTTTTTGATATCGTTAATATGTTCTTTTAAGCGTGTTTTTAATTTTCGTTTTGTTTGGCCCACATATGTATGATTGCATTCTTTGCAATCTATTTTGTATACTACACCCGAATGATCATCTTTACTTATTTTGTCCTTGCCTAAAGTAATAAATTTATTAAGACTATTTAAGGGTTTGTACACTGGTTGGAGGTTGTATTTTTTCAAAATTCCTTTGAATTTATTTGAAGTCTTTTTTAAAAATGGTATAATAAAATAATTTGTCTTTTTTGTTAATTCACCATCGAAGTTCTGATCCATGTTATTTATTATTTCGAAATTATATTTGTTGGAAAGTATAATAATTCTGTCTTGGATAGTCTTAAATAACATTTGTAAGGGATAACCGTTGTTGAGGAGGGAGCTAATTAAGGATTCCATGTTTTTTTGTTGGAATTTGGGATGCGAAAGAAATAAAACCTTGTCCACCAAACTCGTCACCACACCTCTCTTTTGTGAAAGCGGGTGGTTTGAGAAGAAATTGAGATATCTACCAGAATTAGTTGGTTTTTTATACAAATCAAAAATGATGTAACCATCATCGTATATTAATTTTAAGTCTAAAAAATTGATACAATACTCATCACCATGATCGACCGTAATTTTAATGCGTTCATGATATGCATTAAAGGAATCTAATATATCATTAATTTTATTTTTAGAAGCTGCAAGTACAATGTCATCCACATATCTATAATAAACCGGTATGTGTGTAATTAAATTTTGAAAAATATTTTTTTCTAAATCCTGAATCACTAAATCAGCCAAGATAGGTGATAATGGAGATCCCATAGGCAACCCAAAAATTATTATAGTTGGAAATAGAAAGAGTGTTGTTGATGAATAGTAGGATAGAAGCAGTGCAGCCTTCATGGTTCACTGTTCCTTTCATTCGTGGTATTACTGAGAAGTTTAGCAGATTGAATAGCGAGTGTATGAGGGTATCGTTCTATAGTACTAATAAATTGCGAAAATTCATTAGGGTACATAAGGACCCTTTCCCGCGTGACAAGAAGTCAAATGTTGTTTATAAGATCTCGTGTAAGAGTTGCGATGCAAGTTGTGGGACAGACGTGTAGACAGCTGAAGTCAAGAATCACAAAGCATAAGAACCATATCAGATGGAACATCTCTACTACGTAATGTCATAACGGAGCATCGGTTACAAGAAGGCCATGATTTCTACAGAAAGAGATTGATTTCGGAGATGATATTTATCAGGAAACAGATGCACGGACTCAATTTGCAGACGGATATAGAGGAGCTTCCCAAGGCCTATCTTTCGATCATAGACAAGCTATAAAGGCTTGAGTTGTTGTCACGTCTAGTCAGTCAGTGTCGTTGGTACGTAGTAATGAGTCTTTTTGGCGTAATTTTTTATTACTTTCCAACTTTCATTTTTATGGAATTGATTAACGTTTCAATGCGAAATTTTTCATTTGTAAGCTTCAATAATACTAGCTAAAACTGAAAGTTACTCACTGTGTTTGATACTGACTGGCTAAAATATCGAGAACCGGTTTTTGAATAATTTATAGTAATGTTTGCGATACAGTTTGTAATTTGTGATCAAGTTGAGCGTTCTTATTTTCGAGATGATTAATTATAATCTTAAGGTTTTTGATAAATTAGTTTTTCATATTTTCTTTTCGATATTTTCATTATTTCCTTTTTCCGTTCTTTCTTTTTTCTGTTTTCGTTTTAATTCACTCTTATTGGCGTTTAAATTCTCGAGGTAGGGGTGCTCACCATGATAAGATAATTTTTATTTACAGTTTATATATGTTAATTTTTATTGTCTCTGAGGAATGCTAAAAAATGAGCCGAAACATGTAAGCGCATTTTAGTGAATAAAGAAGTTCCACACTTCATAGATATATTATTTGCGTGACGTCTTTTGCGCTTGAGTCTCCTACTGCCCGTATTCTTTCCAGTTCTTCGAAATATTTATATTAATAATCATAAATTTTTATTAATTGTTGGTAACGTCATCGTCCTTCAATTATCTCCGGGCTCCATTGATAATTACGAAAATTTGCCCAGGACCGAGGGTCTTTAATAGTTTCTTGTCGGTGATATAAATGTTTTATAATATAATTCCCATAAGCCAACATAAAAAAAATATCCATAACATCAATGTAATAATTTCTCACTCAGTATCAATATATTAAATTCAATATACAATAATACGAGTGTATATAACGATTACGTTGTTGCGTGAAAAATTCTAATATGATGTTATATTAATG